CGTTACAGTAGATCCCACTGCACTGTGCATTTCTACAGTATAAACATGAGATCGCCTGTGATATTATGTCTCAGCTTTACAGTTCTCCCATTTCTCCCCATTAGACTTGGTGTATTACTGACAACATTTCTCTTCGACCTCTCAGTGAAAATGTTTTAAGATACCTACTTTCTTTCAATCTTGGATTTTAATCTAATTGGACCTTTGACTGCCGTTGACCTTGGTTTTGATCTTTCAACTTCAATTAATGTCTAATTAAAGATTAGCATTTTTTAAAACTGGTTTTCTTGCTAACCACATCACACAAAGCCTAATGGATAAACTAGAGCTGGCCACACAATGTACATCAAACTCTTATCGACCAATCAAATGGAGCATCCTGTGTCCATTGATTAGGTTAGTACTTGATTTTGTTTTTGCTGTTACGTCAACTTCCCAGAAGCCTCAGTTTCCATTAGAGGGTACCTTTTATCTGAAAGGACTGCAAGGACTCGTCCTGTAGTCCTGTCTACCAAACTCTGTGTGGCTTACATGGTATTACTCTTAAGGATGACGTAAGACAGGGTAGTGAGGAGTATTTACACACATTCTGGAGCAAATACAAATCCTGTAAAACGTGTATGCATGACTTTATTTTCTTGTTGAACAGGCATGTTGGATGTTTTGTAATTGTGATTAAAAATCAGATTTTAGGTTTGGTTTATTTCATACCTTTGTCCTAATGGTTTTTAATTTTTGCTGTGTGGTGCCATCCATCTTATTGCCTTAACGCTTGACAAGGCCTCTTCTCTTCCCCTTCGCTCACTGGCCAAACAGGTTTAAATGGCAACGTCTCCGCTCGAGAGTGAGTCACTACATGTCTGAATGTTTCGCTGCAAGCTCAGCACAGGTACTATATGTGACTCGGGGGCTGATTGTCATGTGTCAGACAGGATTAAGCCCACATTGTGTCTTTTATATAACTTTAATTAATACTCAGATCCCTCTTATATACACTGTCTGAGCCACTCGCTCTGCCTGCTGCCGGATATCAAATATTTTTGATATCCTTGCAGATTTATATGAACCATGCTAGTGCGCTCCTCTGCACAGGTTGAGGAGTATGTTAACCCTCCATCAGCAGAACATACAGAGGTGCTTTACAGGCTTTTAGAGACTGCCATGCTCTAGACATATAACATAGGATGCTATGATACTTTCCCTTGACTCTACTCTTCTTTCTCTTGCCCCTCTGGCCACTATACTACGCATACTCCTGATGCAGGCGGTAACTCTGGCACCTGTCAGCCACAGACAATTACAGCCATTAAGGGATTACCTTTGTTGGACTCCAATAGCTGCTGGGAGGAGCCAGCGGAGGCAGGCTGGTGACGCACCGAGGAGGGAGGTCACAGCCAGCGCTGCGTTCACCTTAAGGGGCTTGTTTCCATTCTTAGAGAGGGAGAAGACTTTGAAGAGATAATGAGTGTGTGGGGAATGACTGAGGGGGAGGATTTAGATGAGAGGCAGAAAGCTGTAGCAATCTTTTATTTCGGCTTCATGTAATTTTACAGCAGTCTCAAATTAAAAAAAGACAAAATGTCAGTGCAGTGCACCGTTCGTCAAACGTCCTTGACACATCAAGTCAATCTCAAAGAAACGGCAAAGGCCAGCTGATTAAATGCTACATGTTTCCTCATATCTCCTTGCATCTTCTGTTTTAAGTTAATACTCAACACCAGGAAAATACTACAGCTGACAGTGAATCAGTTGGTCAGAAAAATCTCTTTTTAATTGACTAATTCATTAATTATTTCAGCTCAAGTTTAAAACATTTGCTTCACATTGGTTTTGTGCTGTCAGCTTTTGGAAAAAGGAAAGAAAAAACAGAAACCAAAAAAAAAAAAAAAAGGAAGAGAGACTGTACTAAAAAGGTGAACTCATTGATTCACAGCCAGACAGCTTGCTTTCAGTTACTGCCTTGGTGTTGCCAATTCAGCACGCTGAATGGGCTGCCCATGAGAGCCACTCGTCTTTATTTTGAATCCCACAAGAAAGTAAACAACATTATAATGAATCTCTGGAGGACGGGCACAGCAACATGGTGACACTTGAATGTGCCCAAAGACTGCGACTGTAGAAAAATAAGCACACGTCCGCCTCTGCCCTCAAGGGGAAAATACATGGAGCTCATAATTACACGGTAGTGGAGTTAAAGTGATTGCTGTCAATATGATGATGAGAAATTAAGCTATATGAGGATTGACCGGTACACCTCGATAAATCTGGCTTGACTGATTGTTGATTTTTAAATCCATGAACCTCATTTGCCTTTGTTAAATCCGGATTGTGGGCTTGGATGAGGGACCATAAGCTGCAATGTGCTGGGACAGAGTAGCTACATTGTTTTCACATGAAGACGGCATCCAACTAACAAACCCATGGCGGTGACATTTCACGAATGACGAGAGCAGCAGACTGCGGCACTGTTAGAGAAACATTTTGCTTCGCTGTCAGCCCTGTAATAAAGTCAGATAAACCCAGTCTGTTAAGAAGTCCACCTGCACCTGAAGAAACTCTTCTCAAAGTGCCTGAGCAGCCACACACACAACCAGATCACATCATACACAAACACACACACACGCACACACACACACACACACACCGTCAGATAAGCTCAGTGAGGCCGCTCTTCATCTGTGGCCATGTACGGCGTTGTAAACGGCCCAAATTTGGACAAGGATTCCAGCCAGATAGTCGTGTGCCCTGAACGTGAGGCCGCTGTGTGTTCATGTGTATCTGTTTCCCTTGTCAACGCTTTTGTTGTCATAGCAACCACAGGAGAGAGAGAGAGAGCGGGACAGTCTAGGCACAGCGTTCAATGATGAGGGGGTTGGGGGCAAAGTTTGGTTTTAATATTGCTAAGTGGTGATTGTTGTGGATTTGAAGTGGTTTTCTTTAATGATCATTTACTACAATGACTGTCCATCAGTGGAGGTGTGTTTCATTTTTGTTGAGTGTTTTGTTGAATAGAAGAACAATTTCTGTTTTTTTTCGTTTTGTTTTTTTCCCACTTGAAGACTTCATTTCTGGCCAGCGCTTTGCAGGTCACCTTGTTATGTGTGTTTGTGTGTGTGTGTGTGTTTTGTTGTTTTTAGATGTTGAGCAGAAATGTGACCTCCTTGACAGCTCGTTCCCTCTCAGACATGTGACCAAGTAAAGCTGCTGTTGCCCTTTTCAGAATACGAATTATAATTTATTTTTAATATATTCTGTATACGACTGTGTCCATCTTACAAGATCCTACAAAACATTTACTCGATAATACCCACCCAGACATCAGGCCTGTCTGCGACATTTGAGAAGTTCCAACGTTTTAGATTTATCGTTGTCTGCAAATCAGCAGTGGCTTAGTGGTTAGCAGTGTTGCCTAACACTAAGAAGGTCATGGGTAGGCTTTTTGATGTGGGAGAAGTTTCACAGCCAAAAACAGATTTTTTTAGGTGTTATTGTCTCCGTCATTAGACGAGACTAAATGGAGGAGAGACAGGAAATGAGAATGTGGCTTTACATTCATAGTATGAAGAAATTCATATGTTTTAAACAAAAAGAAAACATTACAAACACATTTTACTGCTTATAAAATACATAAAAATTGCCGGGTATGCAATAGACTTGGCAGGTCTAATAACAGCTTTCCTCTCCTAAGATCTTATAAAAATGTAAATTTCCCCTTTGCATTAAACACCACTTTATTAACAGACAAGTGTTGATTAAATGTATAGTGGAAAGTCAAAGTACGCCCACCCTGTTCCAAATTCTGCTTCATAATGTTGGTAAAAATCCAAACATCTCCCACTATATGAGTCAGAAAATCTTAAATTAGATTTCTCCCACTTGAAGCTGCTTTTTATTTTGGTGGGTATCGCTCTTGTTTTCACTTTCACTTCACAATCATATATGCTTTGGTTTGTTGAACTGGAGGTTTCAGCAGGTGTGCACCCACTAAGAAACTGCTCTACACCATATAAATCCCAGAAGAGAGCTCTTTGTTGTCTGTGCGCCTCATCCTGTTTGGTGACAGTCAAGCGGGTGGTTTTCTATTGTGCTACCCAATATTGTTACTTCCTTTGGAGTGTATGCAGTGTTCTTGTCCAGATAGAATTATGATCAGGAAATCTGTTTTTACCAAAATATCTTCAAGCGAACCTGCATCCATTGGCCTACACTGTCTGCCACTGGCAGCACCACCCAGCTCAGAAAGCCTAGTCTTAAGTGTGACCCTGATTAATTAGGCTAACTCTGGGCTTTTTAAAGTGGACTGGCCTGACATCTGTAGCATGTCCCCAGCAGCAGCAGCAGCGGATGGCACAGTTCCTAATGATTAGGATTGATTAAATGAAGAGGACAAACTCTGGGTGCAAAGTGAGCTGGCAGGCAAAACTGTTTAACTTTTTTTTTTTGTTTGACCACAGATGTGGATTTAATTGAGTGATTCATCAGCTGCTCAGTGTAAGAGGAGAATGTACAGTGTGTGTGTTTGTGGTTTGATTTATCACACGTGAGGAAAATATTTGGCTCATGTACAAAGCTGAGCTTCTTAAGTAAAAACAAGTTTTGAAAGTGTGAATTAATTATCTTATGTTTCGCACAGAGTAGCAGCCTATAGACGCAGCACCTCAACGCCTCCATCAGCAGCACTGCACTATGTGGTATTTCAAGCACCCCTGCTATGTGCAGTCATTTTGGGAACGCTCCAGCTGCCAAAATTCCCCAATAATTCTGCATGCACGTGGCAGTCTATTAGACGCAATGCATTTCTCTTTCCATGGGAGCTATTTGTAACTATGGCACAGCCAATCCCACTCACATAGGTTCATGCACATTTGCAGGAATGTACACACACACACACACACACACACACACACACACACACACACACACACACAAACCAGGTCATGCTCCTTGGTTTTTTGGGGTACAGTGGCCTTACACCTCTTCCCTATCTCTCTCTCTCTCAGGCATGCATAGATGACAATGTTGACATGGTGACTTTCCTGGTGGAGCATGGAGCCAGCATCAACCAGCCTGACAACGAGGGCTGGATCCCCCTCCACGCTGCAGCCTCCTGCGGATACCTAGACATAGCAGAGTAAGTACAGACAGGCCTGTATTCAGTTTCTAGGAAGCAGTAGTATCTGTTTCATCAGGTTTGATTTCTGCAAACTCATTCTTACATCCTGTTTTGAATCAACAGGAGTTTATTCTTCAAAAACATTTTTTTTTTTTTTGTAACTGCAGCACTCCTCCTTAAACCTTTCAGTCAAGTTTTGTGTGAACATATCTCAGCAGTAGGGTCTGTAAGGTGGCTGTATAGAGAACCAGATGTTACTACACACTGGATTTTAATTTGTGAAGCAGTTGACATGGCTGGGCTCCAGCTGAGGTCCGCACTACCCTGTCACCTCTCTGCGCCCCCCATTAGTGACCTCTGTCTTTATATTGCTGCTGGCAAGATTGATGCCCACTCTGTAGGGCTTAATGTATTGCTCTATCTATAGTTTTTTCCAGCTCAATAAAGGAAGGTTTTGGTATCTGCCCATTTGAAGTTGCACATACGAGCATGTATAACAAGGCAATCCCTTGTTTTCCTGTGGTCCTGTGGCCCTGCATTTAGCAGTTATTTTTCCTTTTTATTGTCACGAAATTGAATATTCAAAAATCAACAAATGGTGCATGTTTCTTATAAAAAAAATGCCCATGGTGCCATTTCAGACATGCCTGAATCAAGAGCCATCATTTTCATCATCAGCAGCACACGCTTCTCGTCACATTTTGACAGGAGAAGGCAGCCCGTCTGATTGCAAACAGACACACATTGTCAGTTATGTAATCAAATATGGAGAGATCGGGGTCAGCCACTATATCGGGAATCGAGCTCTAGACTTGCACTCTAGTATTTTCTTGCCCCTTAGTCCTTTTCAGGTAAGAAGACTGTTCGTAGGGCACAGAACACAACACAGATGTTATCAGAAGAAATTTAAACAGGCTAAAGGGGGCTGAAGGAGCTCGCTTGTGCTCATTGTTCAGCATATTGGGAGTGTGCTGTGACCTGCTTTACTTCTGTGTTACATTACAGGAACCTGGCTACAGATCTCTCCCCACTATTAATGTTTTCCCAAAAAGTAACAAGCGCAGCAGGCTGTACTGAGATAAACACGCTTATGTTCAAACTGGTTGGCAGGTATATTTCTGCTGGTATTTTTAAGATGTAATTTGAGAGGCAGTATTGAACTAAAACACGAACAAATGAAATATTAGCTTCCTCATTTAAACGTCTGCATGATTTTTCTACAATTTTTAACTTCTCAGACTCCACCAGTCTGTGTTCAGCCGGCCTCATGAACACAGCATCAGCACTGGGCCAGTATTACAGAAAACAAGAAGTTTTTTGTTGTCACATAGTGAATGAAAAGGTCAAGTGGCTGGCTTGATATGGGTGAGTAATGGAGACATCATGTCATGGGGAGAAACTCGGCAACCTGACGTGGGTGGCGAGCTCCGAGCAGTCCCATTTCAGTCCCAGCATCCTCATTCACAGTAACGGGAACAGCAAAGCAGCAGGGTATCTGTTAGCCCCTGGTGTCACCACAGCTGGCTAATGCTAGGGTTGGTTAAGAAGCGCACAGTCGGACTCCACACCACAGAAGCCATCAAACCTAGTAAAGCTGACCCAAAATAGGCAGAATAGAAAGTCCAATCAAGACGATATAAAACCTTGAAACGTAAGTGCAGTCAGTCAGTTGCCATTTGGAGGGGGAGGGGGGGGGGGTCGTAAGCACTGAGAGCCTTTCAAGTGGTATGTTGGCCTAATGAGAAGGTCCTGAGTCTCACCACAGCTTTAATTGGAAACAGCTTAAAGAAAGATGTTGAATGGTAAAAGAGAATCAATGCTGGTGCGGAGACAAACATGTGAAGGAGATAAATCACTGAGGAGCCCATGGATACAGTGTTAAATGCCGATTTCGGGTGTCTGATGTTGTTATATGCAGTTTTATGGTCTAACTTTCTAACTCTTCCATGCAAGAAATTCTACCCTCAAAAAAAAGTCTTATCTGTTTTGTATGAAGGTCACCACAAATATCACCAGGATACTGATACTGCTTTGTTTTATTTACAGAATAATAACAACTGTCAGCATTTTATCAGATTCCTACTCATTAACTTTTTTTTTTCTGCTGAAGGTTGAAGGTTTATCCATGAGGTGAACATTTCTGTCAAGTTTTAATCACAATGTAAAAATGCTGACAACAGATAAATCAGCTGGCCACATATATCGGCGTATTACGGATGTATGGGCACATGTCGGTCAGTAAGTAAGAATAAATTAAAGTACAGAAGTTTATTTTCCAACTGTTGGAGAGTGGTACGTTTATGGCTCACACCTGATCTGTGCCACTCCTCATCCAGACTTCCGGATTCTTTCATGTCTTAGGTGTGTCTTGGTCACTGTGTTTGCACAGCCGGAGCAAGACCCTCTATAGTTTAAACACATTGTGTGACTTTAGTTTTCAGCACGTGTGACATTAACACCTTACTAATTGAACACGTGCCTTTTGTCGAAACTTCAGGATGAGACTTTTGTGCAGTATGCGCACGTCCTTTTCTCTCAATTACTTTATTGTATGGAACTATATCCTTTATTAACATGTGCTGTGTGGGGCTTTTTGACAGCAATAGAACAGATAATTATGCACTTTACTCATTGCAATCAATGAGTAAAGTAATCGCTGTAATTGATGAATATAAGTAATTTTGGCATAGAGACATTGCTAGCATGTGACTGGGGAAACAGGAGATGCAGACTATGTTATAGTGTCGGCCAACGCTGGCATTAGACCAAAAGCAACATGAAAAAGCTCCTGTCCTTCAACTGTTTCCTCATCAGTTAAAGGAAGTGACATTTGGCCTTCACGTTCTTTCCTTCTCAATCTGTCAAAGGCCAGAATTTAACCCAAAACCTGAAAGTGCAAAAACCAACTGGATTTTCTCGTTAACAATCATTTTTACTCTGGTCTAAATTGTCTAATGTGTGTGTGTGTGTGTGTGTTTTTTTTTTTGTTGTTGCAGGTATCTCATTAGCCAGGGTGCCTATGTAGGAGTTGTGAATAGTGAAGGTGAGACACCTCTGGACATTGCTGAAGAAGAGGCAATGGAGGAGCTCCTGCAGAATGAGATCAACCGACAAGGTGCAGTATCACAGACACTGGAGTGCTGGTGCTTATCACCTTGTGTAATAGTGTCTCAAGTAGATGTAGTAATTGATAATAGAGTAAATCTAATCTGCAGATTTTTCAAGGTTAAGTGTTATCATGTAATCCATCTTAATCATAGCATATCCAGAAACAACCCTGATGTCATAAGTTTGTTAAAGGCAGCATAGCTGGTAGGGCCTGTGTGTGTGTGTGTGTGTGTGTGTGTGTGTGTGTTTCATGCATGTATGAGTATGTTGTCAAATAGGATCTGAATTCTCATTGAGTATCATTCACCTGCTGTTTTTCACTTGCCTGCTTGAAGAGAACTTACATAATATAGAAAGGCGATCCAGCTGTGCTTGTGAGCCGTCATGTGATAATTCAAAACTGAAAAGTCGAGTCTTTCTATTTTTGGCCAGGGCATTCTTTAGATGATGAAAGGCCCTCCCCTATGGTGAGAGGCCACGCACAGACGTGCTCACTGGCCCCGGGCCAGAGGGGTGCTCCTCAGCTCATATTCACTAATAAAGGTTGGCTGGCTCGGCCTTCGCTGCTGCACATTTTGCCATTCCTTAAGACGGCCTACCATTCGCACATTCATATGAACAAATGCTACGTTTCCAGCTTTGGTCATTAATTGTTTAAGATATGAAATGCAAGTCTTTCACACATAGCCAATCATGTACATGCATCTAACAGCAGCCTCATTAGAAAGGTATAGGATGACCTTGTGCGCAGGGTCGGAAGATCCAGACTCCATGTAATGTATTACGTCTTCAACTGCATTGGCTTACACTGACTTTAAGTGTGTTTTGCAGTGTTGAAAACTGTCTAGTATCCCGAGCAACCTTGAGAATAAAGGGCCGTCTGTAAGCTGTCGGTCTCTTGACAGCCCCGTTTAACTCCTTGTCCAAGTGTTTGAAAGCACATGGCATCCAGTGATAATTACACCACAGTGCTGTTTACATGTTACGCTCCTTGGGTGTGTTATGTAACGTTTGAGAGACTTGCACCCACCCGAACCTCAAGCATCTCAGCCAGCGGCACCTGTCAGCTTTGATTTGCCGATTCCCGGGCGACGCACCGCCTGGTTCAGAGCATCCGACCACTGCCTCAGCTAAGATCCGTCACTAAGGGATGCAAAACCAAACATGTATCTTCATGTAACGTGCTCAAAGATTTCACAGAGCCAGACGGCTGAATAATATTTTTTTTTAATTCAAGTTTGAGACTTATTTATTTATTCATTAATGCAGAGTTGGAGGAAACTGCTTTTGAGATAAATCACCACTGAAGAGTGAATTTGCGATGATCCTGGCCCGAGGGCAGCTGCAGACAATCCACAGCTCAGTTCTCTATGCTAGAGGTAGCAGGCAGCATTATGCAACTAGCTGTTGTGTAACGCTTCTGTATGTTTGTAATGTGATTTTCTCCTCTCAAAGAGATACCAGTCATGGGGTTGAACTCGTTACTGAGTGGCCACGGTTTCCCGCTCGGAAAGGACAACCTCTAGATCCTCTCCTTGACCCTGATTTGGGTCAAGTGACTGGGCAGCTCTGCCACCCTACTTTCCCTCTCCATCAGATGCCGCATGAAAGCTGCTCTCTGTCCTTGTGATGGGCTGAAGGTGGAAAACCTCACAAATGTTTCTAACTCGCACGCTGTCCCTGTTAGCTTGGGTGCTGCTGACGGGGCAGAAGTGTGTGGGTCATTTAGATTAGACTGACATCAGCTTTATCTTCAGCTCAAAGTAAAACAGTTCCCGTTCTTTTGAGTGTTCTTAAAAAAACCCCCCCAAAAAAAACAGGAACCTTATTAACCGCTGAGGATCCGGATGCTTGCTTCAGGGTAGATTTCTATAGATATTTCATTTTGCCTTTGCCAGACATCCTGTAGGTATATTGTCAGTGAAGGTGAAACAGGAGACAAGTCCTTTTTTGGTGTATTGGATTTTCTCTTTATCTTAATGCTTAGGTAGAAGATGTGCTGTTCCCTTGAAAAAACTCAACTTTGAACTGCTGCCAACTCTTCCACCCGGCTCTTGTTCTGTAGTCCTACTTAAAGGCCATTAGGCTGCCTGCTTTTTATAGACGCAGTGTAGGCTACTTCCCAAGAGATCACGGGACGTTACCCTACCTGGCCAGCTCCCATTCCCTACATTAACTGAACTGCGCTAATGAAGTTTAGGTTGGTTTTCTAACATAATACTGTAGCTGTGTGCTGCACTTAGTTAGGGTGGACTTATATAATGACAGCTCAAGCTTGAATTAAGGCATTTCTATATGTCTTAACTTGATTAAATAGAATTAAACTATACATACCTGACACTGTGTGTTTCTTTTAATGTGTAAAAAATAAAGTAGGTTAAAAAAATAAATAAATTAACTTTTATTTATTGATGGAATACACCACAGCACTGTGTGACACCAAACGAGGCTGGATCACATTAAAATAACATTTCTTCTCACTTGTAATCTAATTGTAGTTGTGAGTTTCTGAATGTTGCAACCTTAAAAAAATGTGACAACATTTGGTTGTTATTGCTAAGTTACTGCTGTTACACTGAGCAGCCAACCATAGTGAGTCGTAGGTCCAGTTCCTGTCCCAAAGTCACTGTTTGAAATGAAACTTGAAATCCAGTCAAACATAAACTCAGACACTGACTCATCTTCTTCCCATTTGGTTTCACTTTCTGAGCCTCGAGCTCACTAATCCTCCTAATAAGCAACATGTCCAGTCTTAAACAAGCCAGAATATGACTGCTGCTTCGCTCAGTTGAAGCCTGAGTTGCGTGTGCTGGAAAGTAGTTGGATTTTCGCTATGATATTCAACGCTCATGGACCAGTTTTCAGAAATTTGAAGGAGCAGAAAGCAAATGAGCAGATGTCTCAGTAACTTTGTTTGTGCTCCTCTTGATTAGCAGATCTCTTTTTGCTCAACATATGGCTAAAGTCAGATTTTTCCTCTGCCCTTTTCTGAAGCCAAACTTGCAGACACAGACGTCCTCTTTCATTGGTTTAGAAGCTCGAGGCGATCTTTAAACTTTCCAAGGTGTCAGGAATTGAGCGATGATGTATCCTTGGGAGTGGAACAAGAAACTATAAGATCAGCTGAAGCTTTGGCTCCCACCCCAGAGCACTTCTTGGACTGCTGTTTATGTAGTTCAACACAGTTAACGCTCAGCTGACGAGTCAACGACTCGTGCAGGAGTGCGTTTTAGACCGTCTCGTGTTCCAACCAGGTGTCGACAAGACAATACAGGCCTGTTTTTCACTGCTGCCCTGCATGCAGTGTATAGCTCAGACATATTGACCCACTTAACCAGCTGAGGCCTTTATGTTTGCTGCTTCTGTTTCACTCTCAAATTGACAGAATATTGGCACAAAACTGTATTCTAAAGCAGAACAAGAGCTTTACAACACCCTCTAGAGTTGCGAGAGGCTGCCAGAATAATGCTGCATCTATTTCTCCTCCTATAGAATAGACAGCATCAAGGCCTGGCTTAATAAAAGTGCTGAGGTGAAAGGGTTGCATCTTGTGTAACAGTGACTTGTCACAGCTGTCATTATTGCTGCATTATCACCGCAGTGTTTAAGCACGCAAAGATTTATCTAATGGCTATGTGTTGAAATATATTCCCTTCTCTCTACTGGTATCCATAGTCACAGACTAATGTAATGTATTCCAAACATTCACATACCTTACTGTAGACGTAAGACAAGGGCTCATAATAAATACCTTGATGTAATTGCTTTTTGTTCCTCCTCCACTCTCTGGGTTCAGTGTTACAACTGGCAGCTTGTCCCTAAGTAGTAGGTAATCCTAGGATGCCACTTTAACGGCCTCCTCTGTGTCTCATCAGGGGTGGATATCGAGGCGGCCCGGAAAGAGGAGGAGCGGGTCATGCTGAGGGACGCCCGGCAGTGGCTCAACAGCGGCCAGATTCAAGACATTCGGCACGCCAAGTCCGGAGGAACGGCGCTCCACGTAGCGGCCGCGAAGGGATACGTTGAGGTTTTAAAGTAAGCAGCGGTCTTGATTTCACAGGTAGTAGACGGGGTGTGAAAGGTTTTTCTCACCCTGTTTTCCCTGTTGGGGCAAAAATGCAATGACCAGTGCATTAATAGCTCTGTTACACAAAGCCTGCCCTTTAAGTTACCTTAGATAAATACTGTTTATAATCAAGACAGTGCTGAGGCCTAGCATCAGGATTTTCTTCACCAATGTCAAACACAATCTTGGTGTCTGCATCTTGTCAATGTGCCGCTCCAACATTGTCTCTGTGGGATGTTAATACAGCTACACTGCGGCCGCCTGTCCATCTGGTCTGGGACGCCAGCCAGCAAACTCTTAATGCCATAGATAGCTCTAAGATATCTAAGATGTTTAGTGACTACCATACACAATTCACGGATCTAAATGTTTTCCCCGTCCTGGCAGATTTATTGGCTAAAATAATCAGGTTTTAAAATTTGCTATCGTCATCCAGCTGTTCTACTATTATCTGATAAATCTGACCTGAGGTTACAAAGCTGACGCAGTTCTAAAAGCCCGGACCCTGGCAGCACCTTGAAGGATTAGTTTATAGACTCAAATCCGAGAACCAGATTTGCTAATTCTAAGGAAAACTATTTTTGCTTCCCCTCTCTGTCTCTCTCTCTTTCTCTCTCACACACACACACACACACACACACACACACACACACACACACACACTCCTCCCTCCCTCACTGTGCAGGCTTTTAATCCAAGCAGGGTATGATGTAAATATTAAGGACTATGATGGCTGGACTCCTCTACACGCAGCAGCACACTGGGGCAAAGAGGAGGCATGTAGGATACTGGTGGAGAATCTATGTGACATGGACCTCATTAATAAAATGGTGAGTAACGTGAACTGTCAGGAGTCTTGTCATTAAATGCTGTGTAATCTATATTTTACATAAAATTTTTATTTTATTTCTCCCACAGGGCCAGACACCTTTTGATGTAGCTGACGAAGATGTTCTGGGATATTTAGAAGAACTACAAAAGAAACAAAATCTGGTGAGTACAACTTCATCAGCAGTTTCAATGGTGGATACATTTGAATGACCTCTAAAAACCTGTTATTGAATGAACGATTCATTACGTGTCCTAGATTGTGTCTTTTCCCCAGTTTGAATAACTGATTTTTGTTTTCTTTATTCCAGCTGATGAGTGAGAAGAAAGATGTTAAGAAATCTCCTTTGATTGAAACGACAACCACTGGGGATAACAACCAATCACTGAAACCACTCAAGAGGTAAATAGCTTCTAAACTAACCCCCTATAGCGCAGGCATAATTAATTCAACTTTCTTTTTTGATGTGAACATTTTTGACTTTGTATCTTTTGATTTAACTCCAAGTTCTCTACTGATGCTGTTTTTAAATTTGTGCGTTGCAGCAAAGAAACGCTGCTTCTGGAGCCAGAGAAGAGCGCCCCACGCATCGAGGCCTTGGAAGCGGAGAAGGAGGATGAAGGAGAGGAGGGGAAGAAGGACGAATCGAGCTGCTCCAGCGACGAAGAGGAGGAAGAGGATTCAGAGTCGGAGACCGAAGCAGGTACCGTCTTATTTTAGACTTGCTGTGTGGGATCACTAAATCACGTCCAAAACCAAAGCATTTACTGGTTGTCAATTAAATTACTCTCATAGAATTTAATTTGGTCAGCTCTGGGCCTTTTTACCACAACATGTTCCTGTTCAGTGATCAGACATCAACACAGTCACCACATAAAATCTTAGTTTTCTTTACTACATATATATAATAATACACTTTTTTTTCTTTTCGACTCCTCCAGACAAGAGCAAGCCTTCAGCATCGGTGAGCAACAGCACAACGCCCGCCCCAACCAGTATCACCGTGTCATCTCCAACTACTCCAACCAACCAGGTGACAACCCCCACCTCACCAGTAAAGAAGGTATGATCTGGTGGTGTTTGCCATCCTATCCTGCGCAGACGGCTGCAACAGTACAGGCATGACGACAATTGGCGAGCAGTTGTTTGGTTTTGAAAGGCCTTGAATGCTGCAAATTAAATGCTGCAGCACAGCCATGATGTAATCATGTCACTACTCTGGCCTCAAACTACTCTAAGTAGTAACTGCACCTCCTCTGTTACATGACGCCAATTTAACTTTGTACCACTGAGACATGTCGGTGCCTCATTACAGACATAAATCAATAAAATTCAACATCTATTTAGATTTTCTCCCCTTTGAACACAAACCTAATTTCACAGCCGGCTGAAGACACTGAAGGGTGGGTGGGGGGGTGGGGGGTGGGTTTACATAAATGAGTTTGCTGTTCATACTTCAAGGCCATCAAACAAATAGTTGTTTCTGGTCGTGATTTTCCTTCATGTTGCAGAACAGTGAGCAAACAAAGCTAACAAACACCACAGAAAGAGAGGGAGATAAAGAGAGAGAGAGTTACGACCAGTTGTCACTGGCGTTTAACAAACATGGCGACAAGCTGCTCGGGTGGGATGATTAGTGGCCAGTTCTGGATGATGTTAACAGTTTACTACAAGACTGTTAGGACACCAACATGAGTGTTTAGAGTAGTAGATAGGGTTGGTTGTTGGGAGCAAAACAAGGGCTGGTTGTGTTTTTTCCCCTTTTGAGTGTGCTGCCCTCTGCTGGTGAAATCAGGCGAAGCATTTGACCAAAGTGACCCTGGTGAATTTCAACAAAGCTACTTCAGTCTGCTGTTAGAGCTAGCTGCTAGAAGGTATTTCCAGGTGTTTCGTATGGTTGTATATTATTAAAATTAAGGCTCATTATATTATAGCTGTAATATCAGAAACCGCCCACAGACTGGATCATCCCCTGAAAATTTGAATAGCCTTTGCAGCCTTTAGCAATCAGCTGCCACCTATCTTAGACTTTCTAAATGCTGTTTCTTTTTTTTTTTCTGCTTCTTTTCTTGCAATTATCTTCTTCTTCTTCTTCCAGCCTTTCTTTGAAGCCTAGTGCTCACACATCACAATGTCTTCTGTCTAACAAGAATGAGCAAAAAACATTAACAATGTCCAGTTTTGACACTACCAGATGTTTGTGGGATCTGACGCTTATTCCAACTGAGAACAATAATGGTAGTCTCCCCCTTCCCTGGTTTGGCAGTAAGCATTGTGTGGTGTGACTAGGCCTTAAAAAAAAAAAAAAAAAAAAAAATCTGTCCTTGCCATAAAGTGTGTTTCTTTTGCTGCTGCTTCTGTCTTATCCTGGCTTTTTCTCTGTCTCAACCTCTGTCCTCCTCCCTTGCTCTCCCTCCTCTCTCTCTCTTCTGCGTCTTTCTCATCCTGGGCTCTTGTCTTGGTTGGCTTTAGTTTGAATATATTACTCCCCTCATGCCTGTGGCGGAGCCAGGCTGTCCTGCATTGTGGCGTCAAGGCTTGCGCAAAACTGGCATTTCTCTAGTGCCCAAAAAACCTATGGTGAGGCATTGGTGTGCACCAGAGTTGTTCTCTCATCCTACATGCACCTGTGCACTGACAAACTACTTAACACCTCCCTAACCACCCTGGCCTGATCCAGGTTTTGCTGATTTGAACGCCCCTGTCGCTGACTTTCACTCATCAACCCCACATGGTGTTGTTCTCACTTGTAATCAGCAATTGCACCGTCCTAATTGTGCTTTCACCTTGTGTCTGTGTGGCTTCTGTGTTGTGTTTAGTTGCTTGTCATCCTCTGATAGATATTTGTGGCCAGACCTTGTGTGAGAAATATAAATTGGACCCTAAACTCTCCAACAGGTTGAAAGAGCCTTCACCACCCTTTGTTTAAGGCCGTTAGCGTTACCATCTTTTGAGGATAGCATGTGCTCAGAAATATTTATTTATAGTTCAGCAGTGGGTTCAGTCAGGTACAGGTGTCTATATTTTACTCTGAATCTACCTCTTAACTGGCATGTCCTTCCTTAAAAATGTCTCTTCCTGGTCTCATCATTAAAACCTAAAAAACTGCAGCCCCTAGAGATTAATCCAAAACCTTTTTTTTTTTTTTTTTAAACTAGTGTTTTGACCTTATCAACTTTTGTGTTACTCACCAAGAAGACTAAAAATCCCATTTTAACATCGTCATGCTTTTAAATGGTTCTCTCAGCGTATGAAACAACTGCCCCGGTCCTCCCTTTTCAGGTCACTCAGCCTGCTGGAAAGGCCTCAACTAAAACGGAGGAGGAGAGGAAGGACGAGTCTCCAGCGTCGTGGCGTCTGGGCTTGAGGAAGACGGGCAGCTACGGGGCGCTAGCAGAGATCACGGCAACCAAGGAGGCTCAGAGGGAGAAGGACACAACGGGGGTGATGCGCTCAGCCTCGAGCCCTCGTCTCTCCTCTTCCCTGGACAACAAAGACAAAGAGAAGGTCGACAGTCGCTTACAATTTTATTTTATTTTATTTTTTGTGGCATATGTCATAGATCCGTGGGTCACCAGGATGCTCAGAAACATGCTCACAGAGTCACAGATGAGGGGGTCTGGGACATACAGTGTACGTCATACACAAATAGGATGCGGTGATCGAGTCATTAAGAGTTAAAATTCAGTTAGTGTCTTTCCTTTTTAGCCATATAATAAGCTCCTTTTATGGAGTGTTTGATGAGGAAGGAATCATCTGTACCTGGACTGATGTGGTTTCCTGATGCTACCATGAAAGGCTGAACTTTTCCAAGAGCTCATATTAGACCTAAATGCTATCTATACAGTCACTGACACGGGTCCCGTCTGTTCCTCTGCCTACAGGAAAAGGACAAAGGAACCCGGCTTGCCTATGTGGCCCCCACCATCCCCAGGAGACTGGCCAGTACTTCAGACATCGACGAGAAGGAAAACAGGTGAAGCACTGGAGCCGAGTGGCTCTGTGCAAACATGCATTGGCATGAGCAGCTCCTGCTGCCCACTGCTGTGTGTTGCAGGACAAAGGCCCCAATGCTCTGCATGGTGTGTGTAGCCCAAAGCAACTGCTTTTGGTTATGTTGTCACGTTGTGCAGCAATGGATTTGGTAAAAACTGAACGATTCATTAGAAAGGGCAGACTTCATGGTAGAATAGGATGTAATGGGGAAAGACTAGACTATTTATAAGCTCATATCCAGTGTATATATATATATATCTATATATGTCAGGATCTGTTTGTGGAAGCCTAGGGTACTATTGTAGCTTGTGGTTCCCCAGGGACTCTACCGCTCTGATACGTAGCGGCTCCTACACCCGGCGACGCTGGGACGACGACCTGAAGAACAGCGAAGGAAGCGCCTCTACCAACCGAACCCCCAGCTACCAGCGCAGGTTAGCCTCGGCTGCGAGATAAATCTCTGCCAAACTTCCATCCCTCATCTCGTCATCAGATCTCTGCTCCATCTGATCTGATGCCTCGATCCATTATGAGGTTGACTTGCATAGCTTTTGGAAGTGAAAACCACTGTGTAGACAACGCTGACAGTTTTTTTTATCAGTCTTCGACAGTACTTTTTGCTTGGATTTTATCATCAGATGAATGCTTCCATGCACAGCAGCAGCTACTGAGAAAGCAATGCAAATCAGCCCAATGCCTTTTTCTATCACTGCCACACAATCTGTTGCATGACTATACCTGTCCTGTCAGGTTGCTGTGCCACTTTTAATGAGTTTAAATGCATTACCCAGGCTTTTCAACAAGCCTGCATATCCTTCTGACTCCCAAAATTCCCAGGGGTTGGTCATGGCACAAAACCTAGACACGGACTTATGCTGCATTCATGTCATATGGGAAAAATCCCCAATATGAGCCACCTTATTAAATGACCGTAGTTTTCAGGTTGTAAAAGCTACTTCGTTAAGACATCTTTCAGAATTTGCAAAAATGATCTAAAAAACAAAAACAAAATTTATGGCAGCAACTCCATATGACATGAATGCTCCAATAGTGTGTCAAAGCTAGTCTTAAATATGTATGTTTCTTTTACTGTATCTGTGTGTGTGCGCCTCCACCGCTAACATGCCTCTCTCGCCCACCCGCCTGCCAACACGCCAGCACGTCCCATACGCTAGCGCTAGGGCGGAGCGGCAGCACGCGGGACGTGCCAGCCAAGTCTTCGTCCACCTCCAGCTTGGACCCTAACACCTGTAATACTAAACCCTGGCAGCCACCCGCCTCCCACTACCAGTCTTACAGCATTTACCGCAGGTACACCAGCCTCACCGGGGACAACACCGTCTCCACACCCACCTGTCCTCACTGTGTGTCTCTGCTCTGCTGAAGTGCATTTGTTCTTGTGTTCATTTAATGATCAAATGAATATCGGAAGAGGTGCTTGTTATAATATGCATTCAGAACTGGCCTCTGGATGAATTCTGGTTCAGATCAAGGTTATCAATTTGTCCAAAATCCTTCAGCGACAATAGAATCTAAATACTTATCAAACCCACCCAGTAAACTCATCGTGCTGCTTCTGTGATCAGAGCGGTTCGGATTTCCTGAATAACGAGTCTGCAAAAGCTGAACACTGGTGTCACTGCACTACTGTGACACTGCTGCACTATTTAATGAAAGTATGTTCAGCTTAATTCTCACTGACTCGGCTATGGAATTTCGCTTTTTAATCAATAGCACTACTGTTAACATAACCCCTAACTCCTCTGAAATGACCTTAGGCTGTGTCAGACAATTTAATGATTTATTAAACCCATCTGACAAAGGCCCTTTTTTGTGTGTAAGACATGCCGAGCCACCACTGCTGCTAACAGCAGGTGAAACCTGTTTTTACATTGTGAAAGAAATATGTTTCAAGCTCTTGCTGCCAATAATGCAACATGGAGGAAAAGGATTGCTTTCCCCTGCTCAGTGTTTAATGTTAAAGCATCAGAGCAAACAGGGCACCCTTGTCATAAAGAATGCACAAGGGGAGGTTTTAAAGTATTTTATCACGGTGTGTCCAAAATTAATTATTGTAGAATTAGGCTTCGTAGAAAGTTAATGGATTTAATTAAATAAAAAATGTGGAGGACAATATTGATATTTCATGCAAAAAGACTGCGTAATATTTTAGCTCTAGGCATCAATACTAAGTATCTCATTTAATCATCACATCATCTAACGGAAATGATTGCCGTTGTGGTCGTTCACACAGCCCGGCCTGTGTCCCGCTCTGTCTCACTAGTGACTCTTTTATCTGACAGCGGCTCTTTCGGCAGAAGACACGAGGACTTGAGCTCCTCGACCACGTCCTCCTCCACGACCACCACCACCTCTTCATCTGTTACCTCGCCCACAGGCCATCGCGGCCTGCTCTCCAGCCTGGGCTCCTCTTCCACACGCACTGGCTCCACCAGTCTCACCAGCAGGTACCTGAACAGCACCGGAAAGACTTTGCAACCGGTGCCATCAACCAGTCCAGAAAACAGATACAGTTGTGATTCATAACTTGAAGACATTTCAATCGAATTGTTTCATTTTTTTTTTCTAAAAAATTTAAACCTGTTCCTGAGGTATTTCATCTTTATTCTGAGCTTAAAAGGTATCTGCTGTACTGGATAGTTAACGTTTAAAGTTTTAGCAACTTCTCATCTTAAAGGTCCCATATTGTATAAAGTGAGATTCCCATGTGTCGTCAGGACTTCTGTAACTTTGTGATGTGACAGTGAAGCAGTCACCGCCCTCAGCCAGGCCCCAAGCCCCGCCCACCTGGACCTACCATCCAACTTAGCAGAATGTGGTTTCTCTGAGTGTTTATCTGAAATCTGCTATTTATTTATTTAAATTTTTTTTACTCAGTCGCTTAAAAAACAGTAAGCCAATCAGAAGAGAGACTCAGAGAGAGGCCTCTTTTTGATTGGCTCACCGGCCTGTTGTTACTAGAGCTCCAGAGAGAAGCCTGAGAGAGGAGTTGTTAAACTACATTGAGAATGGTTTTTGGTTTTTAAAACCACAAACATATCTTTTGGATATCAACACTTAGTCAACACAAATAAAACACAGGAGAAGTGTAAATTATTGGACCTTTTTAACAACAAATCTCCCATTGTTCTTTGACAACATGCCAATCATTAACACTATTATAAAATGCTATTGTTGCACACTAACAAGTTTACTCAACCGACAGGTAATTAAAAGGTATTTTTATAGTATATTATCTATCTGTATATGGGTATAGGAATTCTACAGGACCTGACCTCTCTTTTATAAAAAGCAGTTGAAGTGGAATCTGCATCTGAGTGTGTGTATTTACATATATATATACAGTATATATATAAAATGCTGTTGTGTAAACAGGTACTGGTCAGAGGAGAGTGCAGAGAGGGAGAAGGAGAAGGAGTCTGCTGCAGTCATCCCCACTATAAACACTGGCTCTACTACGACCACCGCATCGACCACTACTACCACCGCCATATCGACCACTACCACCACCACTGGCACTGTCACCGGCTCTGAAAGACGCAGGTAATACATTGATGTCTTTTATATGTGAATAAATGTAACGTGTAATGATATTTTCTCCTCACATTATAACTTTTTTTTCTTCTTTGTTTTTGAAAGATGATTTCTGTGTCAGGAATATGTTAGCTTCCTGTTATTAGCCTCATTTATTTATTATGTTTGTTTATCTATATTCATGGAATTTTCAAGAGCAGGCAGTTTGGATAATTGTACAAAATATTTACTGTAAATGGTCTCAAGAAATATTGGCATTAACCTTAAAAGCCTCCATCAGTCAAACAGTAATCCGGATGCATTTCCTCTGTTTGAGAACAGGGTGTGTGTGAGTGTGTGAGTGTGTGTGTGTATATGATCTCCCGCTTTGTACACACAGCGTTTAGAGAGAAGAGGGAGTTTGTCCGTGTCTGTCTGTGAGAAAGGGAGCAGTGAGAGCGTGTCGCAGTAAGCGTGTATTTGCACGTGTGTGTTTGAGTGGGGTCGAGTGCGTGTCTTCCTGTTGGAGAGCTGAAATAAGCCACCTGTCATGGTGGGAGTGGAGCGAGGGCTGTTTGAGAGCCTGGGCCGCTCCAGTGACTTCTCCTTTTAAGGAAGGTGGGCAGAAGCTGCACATTTTCCTCAAGGCCAAGGCTCCTCTCTGCACTGAATCGGTTCATAGTTGTGTGTGGCCAACAGAAGCATGCTGCACACTGACTGAAAGTGCTAGAATAGTTCTGTTCCCCCAAACTGTTTTCACAAAAGGTTAAACATAGAGATTTGAATCCCCTTTTTACCAAATTAACTTAAAGTAGTTATAATAGTTGTTTTGAAAGCTTTATTTTTATCTAACTGCTTCTTCGTTACGGGAAATCCACGTCCACCAACATTTTCTGACATAGAGAGCCGCTTCACATTCACACCATTCCCCGAATGTACACCCGGAGCTCGATAGTATATCTGCAGTCTTGCTGTTGGCAAGTGGGAGCTGCTGGATTCAGCCATAGTCTGGCAGTCTAATATCCTCGCTCTGCCATATTTATTGTGTGAGGGGCGAGTGTTATCGCTTTCCTGGCTTGTCTGTAAATTAGAGCAGTCATCATTCTGATCTCAAGCCACCTTGTGTGACCTTAAGGCGCCACACTACCATACACGATGATGACAAGTGCCAGACTTATTCATAAAAGCGATGTTAACAGAAACAGCTTCCCTATCCCAACAGCCATCTAATATAAGAGTAATATTAATATATTTGCTCTGCAAAATGATTAAATTTGTGCGTGTGTTTTTTTGTGTGTGTGTGTGTGTGTGTGTGTGTGTGTGTGTGTGTTAGGTCATACCTGACGCCAGTGCGAGACGAGGAGTCAGAGTCTCAGAGGAAAGCTCGCTCCAGACAGGCTCGACAGTCGAGGAGGTCCACTCAGGTGAGTTATCCTATGTCACCTTTGGCGTGTTAATTTATCAACACATCAACACCAAAAAAGTCAACTTTTTTTCTTTCTTTTTTTTTTTTTTTTTTTACAAAGAACCAACAAGTAAAAACAAAATGTCATCAGATACTGAGCCACTGGTTTTATAGACAATTTGAGCAAAAGTTGTTTTGTGTTTGAGAATTTATGAGGATAAAAATTCAACGTCATAAAGCACCGTTTTTAACTTTTTACTGCAGAACGAATATGAATAAGAAGATTGTGGTAACAGAATTTTTAAAATATCATCCGAGTAAAAGATTCAAAAATCTAGAGGTTTAATATTACGCTCCTCATCCAGGGTGTGACTCTGACTGACCTGCAAGAGGCCGAGAAAACAATCGGCAAGAGTCGTACCCCAAAGACCCGCGAGGAGGAGAAGGAGGAGAGAGAGAAGCAGGACAAGGAGAAGCAGGAGGAGAAGAAGGAGACGGAGACCAAGGAGGACGATTACCGATCGAAGTACCGCAGCTTCGAGGAGGTACAGTTCTCATCTTTGTCTTAAATTTCCGAAGACGGGTCACTGTAACTTCACAATAATTCACACCTTGAATATTTGACTCTGCTGTCGCTCTTACCTGCCTCCTTTCTCCCGTCCTCTCTCCCTTCCAGCGTTACCGGCCTTCATCCTCCTCCACCTCTGCCATTTCCACAGTCAGCACTGCCTCCACCCCATCCTACTCTAGCAGCACATTGTCCTCCAGTTCCAGCTCCCTCAACAGGCCTAACAGTCTGACGGGGATCACCTCCTCCTATAGCCGTTCCTCCAGAGACACGGAAAAAGGTCAGTGATTAGTGCCACTCGAATCCAAAGAAAAGGCGCAGCAAGAAGTGCTTTATCTGTGGAGGGGCTACAACTTAACTAAGGCAAACCATAATGATTTATCGTGTAACTCCGTCTCTACGTTCAGATAAACTTAAACCTAGCAGTAGTAGTAGTAACACGGCTAAAAAGATATCTTCAGCTAGCTTAACTATAACTTTCCTGAAAGTGAAATAACTAATATAAAGCCATGTAGACACAGCGTTTGTCTGCTACACTGCTTATTTCCACCTGATGCTGATATGTGTCGCCGCAGGCCCACATTCACTTGGGCAAACCGCCACATGCCGATTAAGAGCATTGTGACAGAAAGGGGATTGTGTTGCCTTTTAAATTAAGTAGCTCCTCTCTTAACGAATAAATCCATGAAACATCCTTGGGAAAACAGGCGGCAGCTTTATTCTGTTCAACTGAAGGAAACACTGACCGCTTTGTTCTTCCACGACCAAAGGCCTTTTTTTTTTTTTTTTTTTTTTTCTTTCATTCTTTGTCTGAACTCGAGCCAAGTCAAGTAGTTGTCCTGACTGTACTTTGTGCAGTCAAACTGTTGCCTCAGTTAACCTGGACCTGTCTCTCTTCCAGTTTGAATTCTTATTAGGACTGCTTCGTGGGCATTTGCCCTGTTGATGTCAAAGTAATTAGGGTCAAATTGTTCTTCGATTAAATACAGGGCAGAGTTCAGAAGCAGATCATTTAGAGATGTACAAAAGGAACAGATGTTATCAATACTCTGTGTTAAATACATGTGGCCTACGAGTGCCGATTGGCTGAAAAGGTATAACACTATATCATTCGATTTTATTATGAAATTATCATTCGTTAGCACTTTAATTTACCTGTCGTCATTTGTGTGGATGCACAGAAGCAGATAAGAAGGAGGAGGAGAAGGAGGGAGAGGACAAGTCTCAGCCCCGCTCCATACGGGATCGCAGGCGGCCCCGCGAGAAGAGACGCTCCACTGGGGTCTCCTTCTGGACCCAAGACGTAAGAGACTCGCACACAGTGATAGATTTATTTATTTATATATATTAGAGTTCAGGTGTTTAAGTATTCAGTGCACTCTTCATGAGGTGCAATAGTTCATGACACCTGCACAACCCCGACTTTTCCTCTTTGATCATTTGGGTAGCAAGAGCTGAAAAGCGTCTGTAACCCTCCTCCTTTTTTTCTAATTCCAGGGTGATGAAAATGACCCTGACCAGCAGTCCGACTCAGAGGAGGGCAGCACCAAGGGAGAGCTACAGGTAACCCGACACACACTCGCAGACAGGGGGCAGAGAGTAGATGAAGCTGCCCTCGAGCCCGGCCGTCAAATCAAACTACTCCTATTTCTTTTCTTGTACGCCGACACTTCCGTTTGATTTCTGCCCCTCTGCATTTATTCTCTATTCTGGTCCTTCCTCGTGTCTCCTCATGTAGGGAAGGCCAGGCGGGTCCACTAGTCTTTGATATTCACCACTCTGCCCTGCACAGCTATGATTTCCTCCCCTCCCTCTTATCTTTCCTTCTCACCGTCGGCGCCCTTTGAATTTTTTTATTGTGTCCATCTTCCGGTGATTGTCCGGTTGCCGTGGCGACCTTGCAAAACCAAAATTATTTTTCTTCCATAGATCATAAGGTTTTCAAAACATGCAGACGCACAAAGGCAAGGAAGTCTGGGTCACCGGGGTCAAAGCACACACACAAATGAGATGGTGGAGAGTCACATTTTAAATCGTTGTAAATGAGATTTTTACCCAGTGATTACATAATAACGAAATAAAAACGAAAAGTATAAGTTGTCAAAACCAATTAAACGCAGTCTTAATGTCCATGAATGGAGCAGCGTGAGGCAGATTGTGCGGGCGGTGTTGTGAAAATATTGCTGGCTGAGTGAACTTCCTGTTTGAATGGGAGCGTCACATAGACACTAGTGGGAGATGACAAGGACGTACAGAGCTGCCAGACAACTCTGACTGTAGGACAGTATAAAGGGTGGAGCTCTAAATAGGAAACAAGCAATTATCTTGCTTGAAGATGCAAAAGCTTACAGGAAAAGCTTTTGAGTCTCTTCCTTTCCTGCACTCTAAAATTAGTTTTTATGTAAAGCACGTTGAACTGCTTTTGCATGAGGTAGACAAATTTTTTGAATTTGAATTTAAAACATCAAAATGTGAAAAATAGCTCGAGTGATGCAAGTTTTAACTCCTTCCTGATTGAGAGATTTAAGACGTTGATTAAAACAGATCAGAAGACCACTGGTTTGTTTTTCATGGCTGTAATCTGCCACTCGTGCTTTGAATATTATCAATATAATATTATAATATTATTCAGCTGTTGATTTGTGCAGCTGAACTTTATGTTCATCATTTTTCCTGAAAGGCTCTTCAGGAGTTCTTCATTCAGATTGTAGCATCGTTATTGTGCCTCCGCCCCGCACCCCCCACCCCCTCCCCGTCCGCCTCAGGAAGCCGACTGCAATCTCAAAATAGCTGGAAGCCCGACCCACCAAACCTGACCCCCCCCCATCTGATGCTGCTGCTGTGGCACTCGACAAGCGCAGTAGACTTCCAGGCACGCCAGCTGTTTAGGGATTAGTGTGTATGTACTTGCATGTAGAGCAGTTTGCAGGAGGCTGAGTGATGAGAGTGAAGGTCAGGTGCTGCAGCTGAGGAGGCTTTAGTTTAAATGAGCAGTCTTTTTTTTTTTTTAATGTGCAAGTTCTGTATTAATGTGATTCACTGTTTGACTCTATAAAAACACTGACGTGATGCGTTTCTATCTCTAGACATTAACATTGACTTTTTGTTTCCTTTCAGAGTGACAGATTGTCCAGGTATGTGTCACCCGCTACATATTGACTTCAGCATCTGTTCTGCGTCTCTGTGTGTTGCCCAAACGTTTGGTCTTAAATACGTGACGACGTCGTTTCTGTTTCAGGAATGAGAGCACTTCATCCTTAGATCGCAACGACACTCTTTTTAGCCGTAGCTATGAGAGTCGAAGGCCATACTCGAGCCGACTGGATAGAGACGACACCACTGATTATAAAAAGGTACAATCATTAGGTCAAATTCCGTCTTAAAGCACTAATTCTGATTCATTTGATTATTGACTGACATGTTCTTCTCTTCGTCTCCAGCTCTACGAGCAGATCTTAGCTGAGAACGAGAAGTTGAAGGCCCAGTTACGTGACACAGACCTGGAGCTGGCAGACTTGAAGCTACAACTAGAGAAGGCCACACAGGTGTGATAGACTCGCACTGCTGCAGCCGATTTTTTTTTTTTTTAGTAAAATCCTGATAAAAGATCATTCAGGTTTCTTATGTGTTGCCACTGTTTTGTCATTGCAGAGGCAGGAACGCTATGCTGACCGATCACAGCTTGAGATGGAGAAAAGGGTAATGACAGTTTAATTAACGCAGCTCTAAAACAAATGTGCCTTGTTTGAACTTTATGAAAAGATGTATAACTTCTGTCTCTCTCAAGTTTGTCTCAAACTAAATGTAGAAGTAGTTACTTTGATAAATTCAACCTGCTTTCAAACATGACGGTAACACTGCCAATGGGTTTATGTCTAAAGGTAACAAGCAGGCCCCAATATCATCTGGGTGGTGGTATGATCTTACCCTGAGTTTTTGTATCAGTCTCCTCTCTTCTGCTGGCTGTTGTCTCACACATGCCCTTGTAGCCGGGGTCGTAGGGACTTCCTCCTCCCTCCTCCTCGCCACCCAGAACACTGCCACCGTCTCTTTCACTCGTTTTTTATTTTTTAACCTCAGAGGCAGCGTGTGGTCACCACTTCTCAAGACTTGCTTATTTTCTTATTTTTGTGTGTGTGCGTGTGTGTGTGTGTGAAAGTGTGTTTTTATCTTTGATTTATGCAGGAAGTAGAACAATCCTAGGTTGTTAAATTGCGTGTTAAAAGAACCTGTGCATGTGTGTTTTCACTCATTCGGTAATCATGCTGGCGTCTACAGCTGCAGCTGTGCAGCCATCACATCATAACCCCTGGATTAGTGAACTTCATCCACTATTTTCTAAGCCCCTGCTGTAATATAAACCACATATGACATCATCACCCGTGTGTCATTTGTCCTCACAGGCTTTTATAATATGAGAATGTCCTTTTTTTTTTGTTGTTGAAAAAAGACATTCTGACCGTCCATGAGTCATTCCATTAACTTACCATCCAACACAACCTCTAAACATGTACGTCCCCATTTATTGACTCATTCCTGCCCTTTTATACATCATGTAAATTATTTATACATCACTGAATATGTAAGTCTGAACTGGCTGTTGCTTGCAGACGCCTCACAAGATATGCGTGTGTTCAAGTGTGTGCTATCGCTACACCCTCACCATCTTCCACACCTCTGTACTTAAAGCAGTGTGTAGAGCCTGCACCTACAGTGTGTTTTTGTGCCGAGTGATGCGTGTGTCCCAGAGTTTGACCCGCTGTCCTCCACCCCCACAGGAAAGAAGAGCTCTAGAAAGGAAGATTTCTGAGATGGAGGAGGAACTTAAGGTACTGCCACACACGGTCACACAGACACACAGTGTATTATGTTTTCTGCTCACGTACAGTGGGGTTTATTTCCATTAATGACGTCAAGATCATAGGTGGTGTGTAGGTGGTACTTGTGAGTTCCAGTATGGTGCTAACAGCTGTGACTTTTCTAATCCTAAAATTCAGCCTGCGAGTCCCTTTTTATATAAAATTAGTCACTTTTTTTTTTTTTAACAGGAGAGGTGAGTCATCTCAAACCCTATGATGCCTAAAATATAATATGCATTTATTACAGCTTGGGTCGTATTTTTGTAGTTTCGCTTTTTCTTTCATCAGTTATGACATTGTGCTCAACTGTGAGAGGTTTCTAGGATCTGGGAACATGGTGATGTCACTTTAATGAAGTCAGACGCAGCAAGAGACACGAGCAGTCAGTCAGACAGGTGGTAAACAAGTCAACAGGTTATCCACATTATCTGAACCCTGCATGTGTTTCTTGCTGTTTTATAAAGCAATGTTGCTTTGTTCCCAGGTCTCAGCAATTTACACCTTGAGTATAATGTTATTGTTACCAACAGGTGGGGCTGTTTCCAAAAGTCAGTGATGCATCAGTCAGGAGGAGCCCTGATTTAGCTGCCTCGTAGTACACAGAGCAATGCAGGCGTGTGGCAGGCGGTACAACATGTATGTAGAGCAGACTCTCTAAAAATCCTGACTTTGGGACAGCGCTACCAACAGGAAGTATGGAGAAAACTACAAAATAAAGACCCTGGTTGTTTGAAAAATTGAATTTTCCTTTTTGAAATGTTCTGTGTGTATGTCATGTCTGTTTCTAGGAAGCCATTAATACATAGGACAAATATGATATGGTTATGAATTAGAGCTACCTGAGTTGTCAAATACATCATTGGGTGTTGCCTAATGTAGACAAATACAACCAAAACTAATAAAAGAGCCACTGCTCTGACTATTCCTGTTGGGAAAGAAACACGGAGATGCTTGAGAGTCCTCATCTGCCTTTCCTCTTCTAAAAGTAAAATATGAAACACTTCCACTGAACCGGAACATACATGAATCCTACTTTTATGTCGCCTGTCACCTGGCTTCTTGAAAAGATGATTTGTTTTGTTTCTTCTGTAAAGATGTCAGGAGACACTTTCCACTCATTTTCACACATCAAGAATATATTAACAAGTAACCATCAGAAAACTCCTCCCTAAGTTAAACTGACTTAACACTAACATGAAGGCTACAATGACAGGGTCTTTAAAACAACATGCATCTCACATTGTAAATATGTGAATGTCTAGTCCTTGAATGTACCATAACCTCCACTCTTTCAAATGTCATTTCCAGAAAGGAGAAAAAAAAAAAAACCTCCTCCTTGTATTCTTGCTAGACGTGCACCTGTGCATCTCTTATTCTGTTCAGGACACATCTCAGGTCAGCTGTTGTAATCTATGTTGACACAGCGTTTAAGCTCTTCTACTGAGACGGCCAATTAAATGTTCCTTTTCTGGAAAACTGATTTAAGGAGGAGAGAGGAGGGGGAAAAAAAAAAGCCATTACAACTCTAGTAAGCAAGTGTTCTTTCCATCGCTGTGGTAACGAAGTGTGTTTATTTTTAGGTTGTAGGCAGCCGGCTGATCTTATCGGTGTCACTTTTTCATTCTATCTACAAGCATCACACCGAACCGGAAAAAGCTCTTAATCATTCCTTCGGTTTCCAAAATCTGTCCCCATTTTCTAACAATCTTCCTCTTCTGTTTTCCCTTTTTCCTCCTCTCGGCCCCTCTTCTCTATTCATTTATATTGTCCTGTCTTTCATTAATCCTTCCTCTCTAATTTGTTTTTTCAAACACGTTTTTCCTTTCCTTCCTCTGCCATTCTTTTACTCTCACTCTCTCCTTCCATCCATTTCTGCCTCCTCCCTTTCTCTTTCTCTCTGTTCTCCTGTGTTGTGTTTGTTGTCCCCCTCCCCTCCTCCCTCCTCCCTGCAGAACCTCCCCCAGGTAAAGCAGGTTCAGGCCCTGCGGCAGGTTAAGGAGCGGCTGCAGGCTGAGAACCGGGCCCTGGCCCGCGTGGTGGCAAAGCTCTCGCAGTCCGCCTGCAGCCAGCTGCCCAGCGTCGACCTCTAAGCCACGTCCGTTTGTCCGCCACCATCTCTTCCTCCTTCTCCTCCTCTTCTTCTTCTTCTTCTTCTTCACCTTCTCCCTTCCCAACCCCATTCTTCTCATGCTCCATTCGCGCTCTGCCCCGCACCCATAGACAGGCAGGTGCCCAGCCGCCCAACCACCACTGGTTTTGTAAACTCCCCTTTTCCGCCCCCCTCTGCCTCCCCAGAGCTTTTGGTTTTCAGATTGGGGAGGGTGTCTTTTGGTTTTCACAACAGGACGCTCTCCTTTTACAGTACATGACATGTCGAGTGTTTTCCACACTTCTCAGTGTTAAACATCCAAAACGAATCGACGCGGGTGGAGAAGAAGCTAAGGTGAGTAGTGTTTGGCTGACAGGAGTCTAAATTCACTCCACATGTGGATCACTCTCACACACATCTTCACGTACTGTAAAGGAAAGCGTCCTCTGTAGTTTCTAGTTGTGATGCTTCCATCAGAGGGAGCTCGGTTGTTCAGTTTGGCTTGTTCTGGCTTCTTTGCATGAAGTGGCATCTTTTATTTATTTATTTATTTATTTATTTGGCATCAAGGTTTATTGGCCCAAAATCTTCAGAGACTGAACCTTTTTTTTCTTCTTCTTCTTCTTTCCCCCCGTCTGTACTCTACCTCAGATTTTAGTTTTAACAGATGACAACAAAAACTCTTTCAGACAGCTGCATGCACCGACGGGTTCGGCTGGACACTGGTTTAGTTTTGATCAACATCAAGTATAAAGTATCTCAGTATACTTCAGAACATGATGGGACATTTAAACTAGCAGTTGATTGTCATCTGTATCGTTTGTTTTTAACGGGACTGAAATCTCTTGCTGGAGATTCTCAGTGTTGTGTGTCAGTAAAGAACCTCTGAAAAACACGATTCCTACCTAAAGTCCTCCACTGCATAACCTCCTCACATTTTACTTTACACAGAAATATCTGTAACTGATTAGTAGAATAACAAGTGAATTTTTGAGTGTCATTATTGCACACATTGGAGATACTACTAAGTTCATTGTTATTCAGCAGTAAAAGGTCAAACTTACTGATTGATGTCGGATCATATGACCTGACATTTGCCCATCATGGGTCACAAAACACAGCAAATAGAGGAGAGTGCTGACTATCATACTTCATGCAGTATTACTTTGAATACTACAGAGCCCGGCAGGTGTGACGGGAAAGACAAACAGTAATAATTGTGCTCTTCAATTACTTATTCATACTCTTAAATGAATCTTTTCTGCACAAAAATTACTAAAGCACAATGTTTTCAGAAAGATTTAGCAGGTATCTCAACATATCTCGGCTAAAATCAAAGCAAAACTGCATTAAAACCAGCAGTTCATTTAAATTAGATTTCATCCACGCCCACTAATGTTCACTTTATGTTTTGCACTGCATCAGGCTACTCTGTGGTGAATGTGCGGCTAACTGATAGCAGCTAAAGCAAGGTAGTGTTGCTAAAATAACATCCAGAGGTACAGCTGGATAAAAAGAGCATCTAAGGTAAATGAACGTGTGTTGTCATGATTTGAAAACAAAGGAAGGGATTCAGTATTTGTATCTCAGTATCAAATCAAAGCTTTTATTCTTATTATTCACAGCAACCTGTAAATTCATCACCTGTTGCTGTAATTTCACAATAAGAGCACCAATTAAGTGGTTCAAGAGCACTTATTAGACTTTCACGCACAACAGTTATTATTACCAAGTTACCCCGACACCTGGCGAGCTCTGTGGTACACCGTACATTAATCAACTTTGACACTTTTCTAAAAATCAAAACGTCTCCGCTGTGTATTTTTGTGGCTGCCGGTGAGCAGCCGTTGAGGTTCTGCATGGCTTTCTCAGGAACTTTGGCCTGTGGTGTGCCCGCTTTTACTTCTCTCTCTTGACTTGAAACAAGTGATTTTAAAAGTTTAAAAAAAAAAAAAAAGAGTAAACAAAACATGAGAGATGCTGTGTGACTCCAAAGATTGCTTACACAAGCTGCAATTAACAGTTTGTAAAAACCGGCCTGACTGGTTTAGTGACATGTGTATCTGTCAAGACTTGTCTAAGCCTCTCTCTCTCCCTCCCTCTCTCTCTCTCTCTCCCTCCCTCCCTCTCTGTCTCTGTGTCTCTTCCTCGTTTCCTTTTCTTCCCTTTCAGATGCTCCCAGACTTGAAAGCAGACAACCAGAGACTAAAGGACGAGAACGGAGCACTCATTCGAGTCATTAGCAAGCTTTCCAAGTAGAACAGACCCCCCCGCCCCGTCTTCTGCACCCCCCCCCCTAGTCCCCCATGGCAGTGACTAATGGAATTGCACATTTAGATATTAATTGCAACAGACATCAGAGACAAGACTCCCCCTTTTTCTTTTTTTTTTCTTTTTCTTTTTTTTTGTTTTCTTTTTCTCCTCCCGACTCTTTTTTTTTTTTTTTTTTTTAATCTACCTTTTGCTCCTCCACCACTGCAGCATCCACCCATCCATCCATCCATCTGCCCCACACTCTCCTCGACTATAATCCACTCGATTGTGTGGCTGCTGTCCTGATAGAACCACTGAGTTTACAGAGCAAAAAGGAAAAAAGGGTCGTGTGAGCAGCATGTAAAAGCATTGTGGGCGGGGAAGCCTGAAAACTATTTAACCAATAAGCCTTAGTTGTACATAAAGAGAAAAAGAAAAAAACACTTGCATCGATCTCTTCTCTCTCTCGGCTATCACTGAAGAACAGATATTATCCAACACCTGATTTTATTTGTGCCACAATCTCTTATTTGATGTCATTTTTTCTTTTTTCTTTTGTTTCCTCTTCCTGTGTAAGTGTTGTGTGCTGTGCAGTTTCCTCCCTCCCTCCCTCCTTAAAGTGCCACTTTTGCCCCATATCAGCTCCTAGTGGCCCCCCCCCTTTTATTTTTATTTTTCTTATTCCTCCCACACACCGATCACCAATGCACACACACCTGCCCCCCCCCCCCCCCCCTTTTTTTTTTTTTTTTTTTTTTTTTTTTTTTTTTTTTTTTTTTTTTTTTTTTGTACCTCTGTGTGTCTTCCTCCAAGAGGGAAAAAAATTTGAAATTCTCGCTTTAGCGAAACGAGGCGGACCTGGTGGAATTTAAGCTTTCACTGTATGTGCAATATGCATTTTTTTTTTTTTTTTTTTTTTTTTTAAATGCTTTAATGATGAGTCCATCACAAGTAGGATTTTTCACTCTTCCACCGCTTCCATCGCTCACCTTCCTCCCCTCCTTTTTTCTTTTCTTTTCTTTTTATTTTCTTTTTTTTTGTTGTTTTTTGTTTTAAGTTTGTAGTGTAGTCAGTTTATACTCTGTATTTCTCACTTTGTTTTAGCAGGTACTGAGTGATGCTGTATATACCTGTATGTATTTGTTTGAGACCAGCACATGGCATGCGTTTATGGTTCCCGTCTGTTACTATTAAAAGTATACAAATTCCAGAGGACAAAAAGGTGTGTTTTAATTATTTTTCTTTTATAGTCTAAAGACATTGGCTACAGTACAGTAGAGCCTCTCTCTTACACGGGACGGCTGGCAGTGTTCAGTGCTTTATTTTCCAGTTTAAAAATAAGTGTTCACATAATTGTGAGATTTAAAAAAAAAAAAAAAAGAAAAAAAGAAGAAAAAAGAAAAAAAAAAAGAGAAATAATCGCTTCACTACATTTCACTTTCATTGTATTCAGTATCTTGGAAGAGTGCTGTTAATTTTGTTTCCAGTTTTTTAAAGCTGTAGTATTATAGCCAAGGTGTTGTCACTAAAAAATAAAATTAAAAAACATTTTAAAAAAAAATAGAAGAAAAAAAAAGAAGAAGAATATCTTAGGTATCGCTAACCCAGTCCTTTTTACAATGTCTACATGCACTGTCAATGCCATGTGAGGGGTCTTGATGTCAGGTTTAAAGCAAAATCGCCACCATCAAATATTCCATGCATCTGAAGACATTTTATGCATTTCAGTGGCCTTTTAAGGATATTTTAGTAAAAGAAGTTTAAAAAAAAAAAAAAAAAAAAAAAAAAAACACCTTATACCCTCTGCATTAAAACTTTGCATTACAGCCATTATCTTCAAGCTTTGGCAGCACCACACACTATCAGCAGGTTCAATAAACTACCCACAGAGCAGCCAAGGCTACAGTCTCACTTAACACAATTATAGTCAGATAAAATATACAAGTATCCCACATCTTATCTGCTGGTGAGCAAGCTGAATGCAGAAAACAGGCGAATGTAACACAAAATATGAAACGTGACCATTTATCTTGGGATACTTCAGCTAGAAGCAAAACAGATCATTATTATTATTATTTATGAGAAACAGACACCAATATGCACAACAGTGGGATGAGGTGGCCTTGGTTTATTATCATTTCATCCGGAGGACTATAACAACGTCCTGTAGAAGTTTAACGGTAAACTATAAAGTCTGCCTAATGAGGCGAAACCTCACTTCTTGAGGTTAAAGACAAAAAACCACGCATAATATAACGATGTTTATAGCTTCAAAGCATGTAAATATAACCAGGGCTCTGAGGCGAGCAATCCTAAACACCACCAGCAGCAGCAGCAG